CCCGTCCCTCCAATCCTTCCCATCCCTCCCATTCTCTGTATTTTCCCGTATCCGTCTTTCCAACCCTGGTTCCTCACACAGGGGCTTGATTCTCTTTGGGATTGTACTGCTAGTGGCTGCCAAACCGCCAGACCTTGTGGGCCTAGCCAAAGCGGACGCAGCCCGCCGCAAACCTTTGCACCCCTCTCCCCGCGCACCCAACCGCTCCACTTCGCCTAGTGGGCTCTCGATAGGCATTGCAGCTGGTTTTCCTAGAAAGTATGAGCCATAGGGGCTGTTTGGTGTATGTTTAGGATGGGAGATGTGCACTCGGTTCTCATTACGGCATCTCCTACCGTACAGCGTCGGCACGGCTCAGCAGCTGCTCTAGGCTCCTCGAGAACCACGGTCCAAGTAGTTTCACCCCATTCGCCGTGCTAGTCGGCGAACTTCACATCCTCCCCCGCTACCCCCAACGCAGCAATGCCGCGCGCAGCCAACACCAATCCGCAGCCAGCGCCAATCTTGATAGCATCCTTGAGGGAGGCGAACATTGTATGCAATGTAATACCACGTACCAAGCAATCTCCTAAAACTTCATGAATACTATCAGAAGGTAGATTTAAGTTATATAGCATGTCATTTATGTCTTTAGATGTTGTGGCAATTCAGTTGCGGTTGGGACCATTTCATTATAAATTTGTCTGCGGTGTTGTCATAGCTCAACATTCGTCACCGAAGCACATCGAATACTGTAGAGCCGCCCAACTGTCATGGGTCGGTCATCTCCGAGTCGTGTGGTCAAAGGTGATAAGATTGCGGCGAGTGTCACAAAACTAGTGGCTCAAAAGCACAGAAACTGGTCGAGGCGCGTGGAGTGCTCTGTTGACATCGAGAAGCCGCCACTTCACCAAATCAGCAACACCTGGAGAGTGTGTCCGGCAGTTGCGACCCAGCCAAGCTTGTGCGTCGGCTTCGCTTAGTCGTCGCATCGCAAACGGCACTCTGTTCACGCATTGTCGTCAAGTCCTCTGCTGCCTCAACACCTGGGCTCCACAAATTTCAAGGCCCGAAATTGGGCGCTCGCGGGTAGCTACCCTTATCATGTCGAGACCAAGGGTTGTACAGAGTGAAACATATTTTGAAGTAGGTTAGTTTCGGACTCCTTGTGAGGGCGATGACGCAACGAAGGTCGCAACTAGAAACTTTGCCCGTCATAGTGGGTGGTGAGCCTGATCCACTGAGGGATTAATTGTTTTAAACTACCTTTGAGGAGAGCGTCCTCAAAATCGTTTTGATTCTGGGTGTCTGAAAGATACGGCCGAATCTGGTCTAGGATGTTTCTGAAAACATTTTCCAGGGCTTGAAATTAGTGGAGCCCAGGTGTACCAGTTTATTAAGGCTGAATGTTGTATGACTGTACTACGTACAGCTGGTTGCTAAGGTCGTGTCTGTAGGGATGACATGTCAAAGTGGTAAGTGTCAACTTGGCATTTTGACACTCTGAATCGTCAAGAAATTGCAGGTTGCCAGCCAATACAAATCGTCGGACACTTTTGAAATTGGCACAGACAAACCTACAAACGAGAGACGATCGTCGCAGGTGCCTATCTCACGACCAGATGCTGCCCAATCAGCACACAATATGTCTTTTGAATTGTTCGTTGCCTAGCAGATCTTGCCATGACAAATTCTTAAACCGATGAAATTGCGTCGCTGATGTTCGTACCTGCGCTTCGACTTGACACTTCCACTACAGTGCTTGACACTCTTAGAGTGTTACACGCGCTTCGGGTTGACACGCTCTCGCTTGACATGTCAACCCTACGGACACGAACTGAGAGCGTGTTACACCTGCCCGATTTTCAAGGATCACGTAGCTAAGATCACTAACACCCCAACCGTAGGATTACGGGTGGTCAAACAACATGTTTTTGGGGCACATCACGATCCTTGTTGGTGTACCATCTGCAAATTTGCAGTGGTGATCTGCGACCAGGCGACGTCGCCTGAAACTACGCGACAGTCGCGATCTTTGAATATTTCCATTGACCATGTTGACTGCGTTACTGACCCAAAATCAACAGCTTCATTGGTTCGAATTCCATCGAAAGAATGCTGATTAATCGCGATGTTGTTGCAGCAGTTGGAGACACTTTTTTTCGTCTTCAAGGATCACCCTGTCTTTGGTACAAAGATGCAAGGATCACCGAGAGATTGGCAGTCCCATGATCTCTCAGAAAACACCAAGATCGGGTAGCATAGGGAACTCGTGATTTCGATCCTTCCTCTGTTGGTACATTTCCTGACACAGTGATTACTGTACAGTGGCAGGTAAGACACTGTTCTGTAAGGATCGCCTACGTGATCCCCAAAAAGCAGCAATCTTTGCTTGGGTGTAACACGCTCTAAGGGTTTTTTCAAAGGGCTTTTTCATGTCCGAACTGACAGATGTTGACTCGTAAAAAGCCTCACCTTTTCACTACAGTATTTTCCTGCGGTGCCCGAAAAACAGTTTGGGTGGATTATCTCAATCCGGCTTAGGGCGTGTTCGTGGCTGGTGTCAAGAATGTTGACATGAAGCTCTGAAAGGTTGGGATTTTGGTAAATTTTGACGAAAATGACTTGGAATTATCGAAATCGTCCATTAGTCTTGTGTCGCGAGCCTGACACCAGCCAAGAACGCGCCCTTACTATCCGCGTCGCAGCAGTCGCAGCAGCACTCGCCATCGGCACCTCTCCGCCGTGCAAGTTCCCGTTCCGACCCCAGCGTCGTCTGCTGGTTGACCATAACTCCCCACCCCACCCCACTCACTCGCCCATAGGCCAGGCCGCTTTTCACACTAGCCGCCCCAGCCAGCCAAGTTCGCCCAATCCAAGGCCATTTCTCTCCCTTCCCCACCTATCCACACCCTCCTCCAACCAACCCATAACTTCGAGGGCCTTTGAAGTTGAAACAATCGCGTCACTCTCACGCGCACCCCGTCCCATACCCTACTCCACACATCGAGCTCGTCTTCCAATCCACCCCTGCGCTCCTGCGCATCAAACGTCGCACTTCGTGTGTCACAGCTGCCAGCTCACGTCAAGAGCCGCACGAACTTCCGGAGAATGATGATTCCGACTGGGAACCATCGGCGTCTCACCGTGACGGCCCCGCTAGTGCAGCTCTTGTTACTGATACCCCTCGTCAACAGTGCGGCGGGTCTCGCGCCCCCACCAAGGAGCGGTAAGTTTACGCTTGCGCGACTTTCTTTTGTTTCTGTTTCTGTTTCTGTTTTTTTTTTTTTTTTTTACTTTAATTTAAATTTATTTATGTAGCTTCCTCACGTGTTCCGTCGTCTCAAAAGGCGAGAGGACGTTGGGAAAATCATTAACACGCTGATCGCCAAACCGTTGCGACCGCCATTGCCACTCTTCAACAGTGAATGCCGCCCACCATGTCTTAACTCGTTTCGAGGCTGTTCTGTTCCCCCTCTCGTCCGTGATACATAAATATGTGCGTCGCGTGTGTTCAGCCAAGTGTGATTATTCCAACGGGTTATGGATGCGAGGCGGCAAGCGCTTCCCGCGCTACACCACGACGGATGGCCAGAAGCGTGTCAAGTGCCCGTACGTACGGAGCGAGTACTCGTGCGAGCGTAACAACCGGCCCGACTGGCATTACAAGCTGTTCAGGTGGCAGCCGTACGGTTGCTCGCTGTCGTACTTCAGCCCGTCGGGTTTCAAGTTCATAATGAAGAACAAGGTGAGAGGTGAGATAATGCGCTTCTGAAAGCGCAAATGAGGAAAGTTGTGGGGAGCGTTTTCATATGTGCAATCTAGAGCATGTTGCTCAATTTCAACCCGCTTCACCCGGCCCTTTCCACAAGAAGAAAAATAAGAAAAATATAATGAAGGACAACTGGCGCCCGTCAGTCGGTTGCATCAGCGTGGCTGTACGAAGCGCGCCCGCGGTTGTGCGACGCGGGCCGCTGTGCAACGCGCGTGCCGCTGTACGATAGGGGCGCGGCCCGTATGGCTGTACGACATGCGCGCGGCTGTACACTGCCGCCGCACGGTTTCTCATTCTGCAACTGGCCGCCAGCCACTCCAAGTTGTCTGCCATAAGCTGCTGGCGGCGGCGGAAGCGCTTCCGGTCAGCCCCACTCTCTTCCTGTCCCTCCTGGCCCATCCGCGCACCCTTCCTCCCCCGTTCCCCCTCTGCGCGCGTCGGTCCCCTCGCGGAGAAAATGCCGTAGTTGGGGGACACTATGATGCCCGCCGCCTTTCACGCGCCGCTGTGCGTCGGACCGCCCACACTCTCTTGCTTGCACCCTCACTCACCCTCCTCTCTCGTGCACTCGATTTCACGCTCTTTTTGATTTCACGCTCTTTTTGATTTCACGCTCTTTTTTATTTCACGCTCTTTTTGATTTCACGCTCTTTTTTATTTCACGCTCTTTTTGATTTCACCGCTCTTTTGCCCTCCTTCTCCATGCCGTGTACCTGCACTCCCTCCCTCCCTCCCTCGCTCCCTCCCTCCCTTCTTCCGTGTTCCACGCAGTTCCCTGTCGCCTCCTTTCTTCCGCCTCATCCCGTCGCCCTGCCTCAACCCATGCCCTGCCTTCCCATCACGTCCTCTTTCCCCGTCCCCAACCACTCCCTCCCCTCAACGGCCTCTACGCGGACCCGCGTAGCCCCCGGCGTTCCGGGTTCCGTCCGCGCTGTCCCCTGTTGCCTGAAAACCCTTGGCGCAGGAAACGCTGCTGGTGGGCGACAGACGCCATAATGCCCAGCTTACACGATGCAAGGCGCGTCGCACCTCTCACTAGCAAGCAACGCCCCCACTCCTCTCCATTTCCCCTGCTGCCGTCCCCCACTTAGTGCGCGTGGCGCACAAAATGCTGCTGGTGGGCGACTGACTCCGTAATGTCCAACTTCCACAAGACGCTGCGCCTCGCTTCTCTCACTAGCAACAACCCCCAATCCACCCTGTCTCCCCTGCTGTCCCCCACTTGGCGCCGCCCTTGGCGCAGAAAATGCTGCTGGTGGGCGACTCCATGATGTCCAACTTCCATGAGGCGCTGCTGTGCGCCATTCACACGGGCGGGTTCAGAGGACAGGTGAGCCGTTTAGTATGTTTTGACAAACGTTGGGTGAGGAAACGGGGTGTGAGAGAATGTGAGCAGGGGTTAGAAATCACAGACCCAGCCCCACCTTGTACCCCCTTTTTTCTTCCCTCCTCTCCCACACCCTCCCCCACTTCCTCCCACCCCCTGTCTCCTCTATCCCTCCCCACCCCCCCACCCCTTCCCTCCCGTCCGCCCCCCTTCCCTCCTCCCCTCCCGGCCTCTGCCAGCCATACACAGTGGACATCGGCCTGACGAACAACATCAAGGGCATGCGCTTCCCGGCCTTCTCCTTCTCCCTCGAGTACTACAACTCGCCCTACCTCGTGCAGTCCCGCCGCCAGACCACTGTCTCCGCCAAGCGCGGCGGGCACGGGTTTGAAGTCAACGTGGACAAGATGGATCCCAAGTTGGAGTCTATCCTGGGGAAGTACAACGTTGTGGTCTTTGCCACGGGGGTCTGGTGGCTGCAGAACGTCCCGCGCCGCACGCAGCCGAATATTTTCCTCGTGAACGGGCAGGAGCGGAACCTTTCGAACGTGGCCGCGCACCAATGGGGGCTCTCCACCGTGGTCAACTCCATCAAAAACTTGAATTTCCGCGGCGTGCCGATGTTCCTCTCGTTCTCGCCAAACCACTCGGGTGCAAAAGGGAATCCGCAGAAAGGTGTGATGCTAGGGAGGGGGACCCATGCAGACTGGATTGGAGCATGTGGGGCCTGGTATCCTATCAGCAGCACTAAAAAGTACTCATATTCTCTCGATACTGCGAGCGAGTACAGGGATGCGCAGAAGTCCACACTTTCTGGTACGCCCATTCGATTTATTCAGGTGACTGATTTGAGTGGGGTCAGGCCTGACGGGCACTTAGGCCCGTGGCACGAGCAGAGGGAGAACAAAGGAAGCAAGTCTCCTGGAGGGCAGGGGGAATCTCCGTTCAGTGGGGACTGCACGCACTGGTGCTTGCCTGGGGTTCCCGACACTTGGGTTGATATGCTCTACACCCACCTGCTTCTGGAGCCATCGATCTTCTAGGAGATAGTGCCTGGTCTGGTAATAATGTTTTGTAATGCTTGGCGGGCGGTTCAGGCAGGCTATGCGTATTGCGTATTAGTTCACTTGGTGGTCTTCATGGACCTTTTCCTTGGGATGTCCACATCCCGATTGCTCGTTAATTTTGAAGGCAGTAGTTGTGAGAAGGGTTTGCGGTCATTCTCATCTACAGTGTGCGTCAATAAATGATGCACTAGCTTTATCAGACTGCACATGATCGAGTGTTATGTTATATGCGTTAGTTCTGTTTTTACTGGGAGTAGGCTCTACTCATGGCTAAGATTGTTGACAAATGTCTCATCATAACTTGTTTTCACTGAGTCCGTGATACCCTTTTTAGGCAGTTGTTATTCCATGTCGGCTGCATTCATCATGTATAAGCTGCGGGTGGACATTATAGTTTTAGTGCAAGTTGGAGCATAGATGACTCTTATTTTTGAAGTCCACAAAACTACTATTAATAGAAAGTTAGTGTAATAAAGCACGACTTCTCGTCCTCGATCGAAGCACACCAAGAGTTATTGGGAGAATATGTCACACGTAATCAACAATGATCTCGATAATATGTTTGGGAAAAAAATCACGGGTACGGTCACTGCAAAGGGTGTTTTCACGTGTTTGACAAAACTTCTCGCGGAATCAGTCACAGTCAACTGGGGAAAAATAACAGATGATACTCTCGCGCAAAAAAGATAATACCCAAAACGAACCTGGATGCATTTCGGATGAAACAACCCTAAACACAACTCGCCAAGTGTTTGGGGTTGATCCGTTCCCAAACCGCATCCGATTCCGATTGGGTTTTAGTTTTCTTAGAAGTTAGCTGATTGGTTGAGTGCGAGCAAAAATTAGTAGAGTTTCAAAAAGTTTTGGCGGGAGCTACATGTGTGACCATTCGCGTGATTTCTAATCTGTTGTTAGTGACTGGATCCGTGACCCCACTTCCCAAACCCGTCAGCAAACCCGATACAATGACCGTACGCGTTAATTTTTTTCCATTCACGTTATCGAGTCCCATGTTGGTTACTGTGACATATTTTCCCAGAGTTTTTTGCGTAACGCTCCTGGGGAACGCGTTCCCTTTGGACCACCAATCAGGTACATCTTGGCTGTTGAATGTTCGCGGTTCACTTCAACGGATTGGCCAGCGGACAGCGCGCAGGTGGTTGCTTCGATTCAAACCCACACTTCTGTCGGCACCTGACGTCAATGCACCCTAGACCCTACCTACAAGAGACCCAGCCAGCCCCCCCAACCGCTGCCCCAAACCAGGCACTCGTCCACAGAAGTCCGGCTGGGGCCCTAGGCTTGGAATTGGATTCAGGAGGAGAGCTCCCTCACTAGTCGGGTGCACTTTTTGAGTACAGCGAATTCTGTGCTGTTGCACAGTGCAAAGTTTCTGCGCTGCGGTTGCCTCGCGAATTTCACATGCCAGCTGAACCAATCCGGGTGCAGAGAACGCCTCTCAAATCGACTTGGCGGTCGATAGAAACTCTTTTTGGGGAACTCGAACAGCCAATCATGAATCAGAATCACGTCACATGCGATGCCGGCGACTGTTCTTGAGCCTAACCTCAAATTCCATGCACCAATAGTCGTTGTCCGCGACAAGAACGGAGCCTCGCTGGTTGCCGAACTCTTCGCCACTGCCTCGGCAGAACGCCAACGTAGAGTCAAGCAAGCTCGCTAACCCACGCCGAGCGATCCCGCAGGGCACGGATGCGCGCTCCGGTGCTGGTGGAAAATGTGCGAGTCTCAGCCGCACCACTCTCTTGCGCTTATAACTTCAAGCCAATTTCCATCCTTCCTCGTCTCACTTGCTTCGTTCTTCGGTTTTCTCGTCCCTCGGTTTCCTCCTCTCGACACCTCAACCCAGCACTCACGCGCGTTTCTCCGGTCCTCCGCACGATGTCACCCTGCTCGGTTATCCAGGAGACTTTCTATGGAGCGCCTACGGGCGAGGTTGATGAAACCCTACTAACCTCGCGCGAGTCGCTGGTCGGAGCGCTTGACAGTGTGGATGAGAGCTTCATGGCTAGCTGCGGATTCGTCAGCAACACCACCGCGCCCTCCGGGATTATACCCAGCAGCGCTACGCCGCTCCTCTCGCCGCCGCCGCTGCTTGCCTCCTCCGGTTTCGGCCTTCGTGTCAACGTGCCGACGTGCAGCAGCGAAACGCCGTCGCTCAGCGCGGGCATGGACGATTGTGATTATAGCGAGGGGGAAGTGGCGGCGCATGACGCGGATTCGACAGGGATTGGCAGCGACGGCTGGTGCTTCCCCTCGTCGTTGAGCGAATCGAGCGACGCGGCGAGCGACGACGATTTCCTGTGCTCGCCGCATTCGACGGCGTCAGGGAGCCTGTCGCCGCTCTCCGTGCTGTCGCCTGCCCGTGCGACCCCTCATTTGTCGCAAAGTCGTGCGACCCGACGCGCCCTATGGCCCGAGGCTGGAAGCGACGAGTTGTCGAAGGTCCCTGCGAATTCCGCTGCCAGCGCTGGGCCGCCCACATGGCAGGAAGGCAACCAATGGCAGCTTCCCGAGGATCGGCAGGCCTTCACTCCCGCCGCCGCTTCCCCCCCAAGTGCCGCGCCCATCGCCGCGCGGAACGCCTCACTCAACAGCAACGGGCAACACTCCGCGCAGGCTGCGCAAAGTTTCCCCCATGGGGCTGCCTCCGCGTCCCCTTATTGCTTCGCGGTAGCAGGTGGCGCTGGCGCGTTCCCCATGTACTGGCCCTACCCAGGCGCATTCCCCGCGCAGTATCCGCCCATTGGCCTCTGCGCGCAAGACAGAAGCGCCGCCGCGCGCGGCGCAAACAGCGCAAGCGGAACGTCCGGGGAGGCGATGGGTTGCAAAAAAGCGCAAGCGCAGAAGCCCGCCGGTGTGATCATCCCCCCGCTTGGGTTCTGGGGGCACCCGCAGGCGCCCGCGGTGACGCTTCCCCCGGGCGTGCAGCTCCCCCTGCGGTTGAAAGTGCAGCTGCAGCTGCAGCAGATGGCGGAAGGGGCGCAGCAGCGGCAGCACCTCCCCGTGGCGGTTCAGGCGCCTGTGGCCAACTGCCCGCGCGCGTACCTTCCGCCTAGGTACTTGGCGCCGAAAGATACCACGGGCACAGGTGTTTTCATTCCGCCGAGCCGAGCTGGGAACTGAGGGCAGGTGTTGCTGCGCGGCAAGCTTCGCTATACGCTTGGCTCCGCGAATCGTTACTACTGTGGAATTTATACTGCCGAGACTGAACGGGATCTATGTAATAAGCAGATAGAAACTATTCCTCGTGGGAGGCGGAATGACATTGTTTTCTCCTTCATACGATTATTTTGTGATCAATTATCCTTGCTAAAACCACCCTTTCCAAAATCAAAACCTCCTCAGCTTTAATATGCTGGTTTTCAAAGGCCTGAAAGTGCTGTAGCAAGCCTCTTAGGGAGATTTCTTTAGAACCTAAATTTCATCATTCTAAAAATGAGATGAAATGCTTTTGATTAAAGCCAGCAGCTAAAATAGTGACCGCCCCCCTTCTAGTTGGATCCATTCGTGCACAGTGCTACTCGTTTTTTTTTTTAAACAGTGCTCTACCGGCCCGCCCTCTCTGCAGCACCATTTCAAGCTGGGACAGGGTTCACTATTTTATATTTAGGTTTTAATCACACGCCTCTCTTACCGCTTTCAAATCATTGCAAGTGCAGCGCATCACACACCTCACTTGTAGACCTGTTCACTGACCACCACCCAGACAGTGAAGCACATATGCATCGCAGATAAGATGTAAGAATATAGCACAATATCCATGGGGAGGAATGCATCTTGCATGCTTGTTCGAGTAAGAGCGACAGGATGGGAGGAGAGGACGAAAGACGGCATTGTTCTCAAAGCCTCAAGCTCAACCCTTAGGCTCGTCAGCGCATGCAGCTGGTGCTGCTGCTCCTTGCTCCCCCTCAGCACTGCCACCAGCTGCTGCTCCTGCTGCTGCACCCGCATCATCATCAGCAGCAGCACCAGGAGCAGCGTCACCAGCAGCAGCAGCAGCAGCAGCGTCATCGGCTGCACCCGAAGCAGCAGCAGCAGTGTCGTTGTCGGCATAGGCGGGGAGGTCAAGCCACTGTAGCATCTGGTTGGACTCGACCTTGGACAGCATGAGCCCCACGTTGCGTCTGCCCCGCCACACTATCACCGCCGCCTCCCTCCCCGTCAGCTGCCCGCGCTGCTGCTGCTCGCCTTGGGGAGAGTCTGCTGGGACGCAAGTGAAGACAGGGTGGGCGGTGGTGTGGGTGGAGAAGCAAGAGTTGCAAAGGCAGCACCCTTATTAAGAGAGTGGCGAGAGTGCAGGGATTGATCTCGTGAGTGAAACGCACTCCTCACCCCAAGTTGATGTGCTACAAGGTAGGCTGGCAACGGCATGCACCGCATCAGCGGCATCCCCAGCATCACTCCTCATCCCACATTCTCTCCCTATGTTAATGATTCCCTCGTCTCGCACCCTCCCTTGCTCTCTTCCACCACCTACACCCTTCAATGTTTCCGAGACCTAAACATCTGTTTTCTTGTCCGTCCCTCCTTACTAACACACACTGTCCCTCACTCTATTCTCATCCTTGCACTTCAAACCCCTCTCTACAACACCCTTACCTCCCACTCATCCCTCCCTCGCTCAGCACACCCCCCCCCCCCCCCCCCCCCCCCACCTCCCCACACATCTCTAGTGCCCATGAGCAAGAACCCACAGCTCCTCTTAGCCACTTCCAAGGCCCTCCCGCCTCTCTTCCTGTTTCATCACCCGAAGCCCTCTGCCCCCTCCCTCCCTCCCACGTTGACACCAAACACCTCTGCACTCCAGCACCAACACAAGACCGCCCCAGCAGTCCCCTTTCCTTCTCTACACTAAACCCACCCCTGCCTCCCTTCCTCTCTCTCCCTACTTTCTCGGCTAGAGCCCCCATCTCGGCCCCTCCCACCCCCCACGCACCTTGAAGGTCCAGCACCGGCACCGGCACCATACAGGCCCAGGTGCTGGCGCTTTAGTCTGCCTTCTGAGTGAACGCAAAACTCATCAACCCTAATCCCCCTCCAACACACACCTCTGGGGTCCAGCACCAGCACCACACAGCCCACATCAGTCACTTCTACGGTCAATTCAAAGCCAATCCTCCTCCCCCTCCCCCCTCCTTCACTTCCCCCTCCCCTTCCCCCCCTCCCACCCCTCCCAACACGCACCTTTGGGGTCCAGCACGTGAACCACACAGCCCATGTCCGCCGCCTCCCGCCTCCATGGCCTTAGCAACCCCGTCGAAGAGCTCTGTGAGCAGAACCTCAATAGCCTCCCCCAACCAACACACCTTTGGGGTCCAGCACGAGAACCACACAGCCCATGTCCGCCGCCTCTAGATCCTTAGCAACCCCTTCAGACAGCTCGGTGAGCAGAACTGAGCGCTTGGAGAGCATCACACGGAAGTCGCGCGGGGGCACGTGCACGAGCTGGCGCGTTATGAAGGGCAGGATGAAAGGCAGGCCCTCCGCTGAGAGGCGAAAGCAGCACGGCACCTCGCCGTCCTTGGTGCTCTGCCGCTCCTGTTAGGGGGGGAGAAGGGGGTGCGGGGTAGGATGCGGGGGGGGAGAGAGGGTGGGGGAAGGGGGAAGGGGAAGGGAGGGGGGAGGGGAAGAGCGCGGTGGGGTCGGGTTGGGAGGGTTGAGGGTGAATAGGGGAGACGAGAGGAGGAAGCAAGTGCACGAGCTGGCGCATTATGAAGGGCAGGATGAAAGGCAGGCCCTCGGCTGAGAGGCGGAAGCAGCACGGCACCTCGCCATCCTTGGTGCTCTGCCGCTCCTGGTGAGGGGAGAAAAGGGAGAAGGGGAAAGGGTGGGTTGGGGTGCGATAGGGGGGGTAGGCTGGGGGTGTATGGGGATGTTTGAAGGAGAAGGGATTGGAGAATGCATGGACGGGAGTGGGGGGCGAGAAAAGGAGGCAGGGAGGGAGTGGCACGGCACGGCACAGCCCCAACGGGTCCAGGCCACAGCAAGCATCTTCCAAGGTGCCTCAAGCCCAAAAGAAGCACCTGCTTTCTGTAAACACCACCAGCACCCCACTCAAATAGCTTCACCCCAGTGCTGACCAGACCAACTCGCATCGACCTTTGAGGTGCCTCACAAGTCACTAGTTGGTTCTTGCATGCTCACACATGACTCAGAACTCGTTTCAAAACTCCCTTCAACAACCAACCCACTCACAAAGAGCTTGACCCCAGTGGACACCATCTTGAGGCGCTGCCCTGACGCCTGGTTCGCCCTGATGGCCTGCGCAATGGGCTTCGACACCAGGTAGATGCGCTTGCTGTGGCTGGGCGCCTCGCTGCGCACGATCAGCTGCGAACGCAGGGGGAAGGCGGGGAGGATGCCGTAGAATGCCTCCACGCTGGCGATGGTTGGCTCATCTGAGAGGAACAGCACCGGGTCTACTCCCCTCCACCGCCCCTGCTGCTGCCGCCGCTGCGCGCGCTGCTGCTTCTCCTGCTCCTTGCTGTCTCCAGGGCCGGCAACAGCAGCAGCAGCATCTGGTTCGTCTGCTGGGTCTGCTTCTGCGTCTGCTTCTGCCTCCTCTGCAGGGTCGCCGGGCTCCGACACACCGTCAATGGAATTAGGAGCATCAGCAGAGTTTGGGCTCAGCAGGTCTTGGTCATCATCATTTGCACCTGCGTTCTCGGCATCAATACCAGCAACATCTGCATTCCCCCCTTCCTCCTCTACCTCCATCGCTTCCCCTCCCTCCGCTCCTTCACCCCCCACAGCGGCTTCTGCTTCCTCCTCTCCCTTCACCCCCCCTTCCCTGTCTCCTCCTCTTCTACCTCCCCTTCCCCTCCCCCTTCCCCTTCCTCTCCCTCGTCCCCTCCCTCTGGCATCCTGACCGTCCCCCTCTCCGTCTTCATCCCCTCCCTCTCCGCCCTCTCTTTCCCTCCACCACTCACGAGAAGGGGCTATTGGACAGGAGAGGGGGAGACATTGGGGCAAGTGGGGGAGGAAAAGGGGAAGTCGGTGGGAGGAGAGGAGAGAGACAAAGTTATGCGAGAGGTGGGATGTACGGACGGGAAGAGGCAGCAATGGGGAGTAGCAGAGAGGAGACGCATTCAAAGAGACCAACGTGGAGAGTATCAGAATAGAGTGGTAAAAAGTCTGCTTTTGAGTCGACTCAAAATCAGAATAGAGTGGTATAAGTCTGCTTTTGAGTCGACTCAAAATCAGAATAGAGTGGTAATAAGTCTGCTTTTGAGTCGACTCAAAATCAGAATAGAGTGGTAATAACACAAGCAAGTGAACCTCGCCGTTTCAAACACGATGCTGGCACGGCACACTCCCACTCACCAGTGTAAGGTGCAATCGTGCCCAGCACTGCAAAGATAACACCCACCCACCCACCGCACCTCCCCCCTTCCCCCCCCCCTCCTGCTAGAGAGGCAGCACTTTTCAGGAGCCTCAATCACCGTCTCTGTCTCTCTTCCACCAAGGTCGGTCTGTATATTGGGCACAGAATGCTGGCATGGCATGTGAGAATTCTGATCGCATGCTCACCACTGTAAGGCGCAACCTTGTCCAGCACAGCAATGAAGAACCCTCCCGTGTCCTGCTGGTGAGGCAGCACTCGCACACACAGCTCCACCGGCTGCTCACACACCTCCGCCTCCGCCTCCTCCTCCTCCTCTTCCACCACTTCTGCATTTCTCCTCCCCCTCCTGCCCTCTCTTTGCCTCCCTTCTGGTTTTCCTCCCTCCTCCCCCTCTGCTGTCTCTCCCTCCTCTCCCTCCTTCCCCTCCCCTCCCTCCTCTCCCTCTCCTTCCTCACCCCCCTTCTCCTTATCTCCCTCTCCCTGCACTTCCTTCGTGCTCTCCTGTTGCCCCTCCCCTTCCTTACCGCCCCCCTCCACAACAGCAGCAGCATCTTTGCAATCAACAGCGGGAGCATCAGCAACAACTGCGGCACCATCGGTGGCAGCAGTGGCAGGGGCAACAGCAGCAGTGGCAGCGGCAGCAGCGGGTGCTTTACCGGAGGGGAACATGGATGGGGTGGTGACTGCCCCTCGGTACACGATGCGCGGGGTATAGTGGGCATGCCAGCCAAAGCGATCCTTCACCTGCAGGGAAAGAAAGTGGTGGGAGCGAGAGGTGAAAGGAGAGAGTTGCAGAAAGCGGGAAGGAGAGAGGGAGGGATGGAGTAAGAGGGAGAGAGGACGAGGGGAGCGTGGGAGCGAGGGGAGAGAGAAGGAGAGATAAGGAGGGAGACGAGGAGGGGAGCAAGGGAGCGGCGAACGGGGTTAAGCGAGGGAGAACGAATAGTTTGTGCGATAGAGGAAGGTTGGGAGGCGGCGTAGGAGACACACGGCGGAACCGGGAGGCTCATGAAAGGGGGATGTGCATGGTGAGGGGGTGTGGAGAGTGCAGCATGGGCAGCAGGAAAACATGAGAGCCGCAGGATGGGATAACCGGAATCAGCAACAAGGTGACTTTCGAGTCGAATGAACAGGGAAAGATGGGATAGCAGGACTGCACGACCGGAAGCTGTGGAAATAAACATTTCCCACCGGGAATTGTCCAGCACCCCCTCGTCCCCCAGAAGCCGTGATTTGAGTCGACTCAAAATTGTCCAGCACCCCCTCGTCCCCCAGAAGCCGTGTTTTGAGTCGACTCAAAATTGTCCAGCACCCCCTAGTCCCCCAGAAGCCGTGTTTTGAGTCGACTCAAAATTGTCCAGCACCCTCTCGTCCCCCAGAAGCCGTGTTTTGAGTCGACTCAAAATTGTCCAGCACCCCCTCGTCCCCCAGAAGCCGTGTTTTGAGTCGACTCAAAATTGTCCAGCACCCCCTCGCCCCCCAGAAGCCGTGTTTTGAGTCGACTCAAAATTGTCCAGCACCCCCTCGTCCCCCAGAAGCCGTGTTTTGAGTCGACTCAAAATTGTCCAGCACCCCCTCGTCCCCCAGAAGCCGTGTTTTGAGTCGACTCAAAATTGTCCAGCACCCCCTCGTCCCCCAGAAGCCGTGTTTTGAGTCGACTCAAAATTGTCCAGCACCCCCTCGTCCCCCAGAAGCTGCCAACGACATAACCTCCTGCTCTCACAATCCTTCCAATTCCTCATATTTCACTACCCTTCCCACCTTCCCACTCCCCACCCTCCCTTCCCCACCTTCCCCCCTTCCCCACCTTCACCTTCCCCACCTTTCCTCTCCCCACTTTCCCTCGCCCTACCTTCCCACTCCCACCCTTCCCCACCCCACCTTCCACGACTTGAGGCCGGGCGAACGCTTGAGGTTGGGAAGCATGTGCGAGCAGTCCACCAGACGCATGCACCCATTGGACTCCCGTAGGATCTGCCATGGGGGGGAGGAACGGGGACAATGGCGGGGTGGGAGGGAGAGGGTGAGGGTGGGGGGAGCAGGAGGGGCGGAGAGGAGGGGAAGGGGACGTGTGAGGGAAGCATGTGCGAGCAGTCAACTAGATGCATGCAGGCATCGGACTCATGCGGGATCCCCAGGGAAGAGGGCAATGGGGGAGAGGGGGGAAGCGGGAGAGGGAGGGGACAAGCTGAGGGCAGCAGAGAGAGGGGGCAGCAGCAGAGAGAGGAGGCAGCAGCAGAGAGAGGGGGCAGCAGCAGAGAGAGGGGGCAGCAGCAGAGAGAGGGGGCAGCAGCAGAGAGAGGGGGCAGCAGCAGAGAGAGGGGGCAGCAGCAGAGAGAGTGGGCAGCAGCAGCAGAGAGCGGGGGCAGCAGCAGAGAGCGGGGGCAGCAGCAGAGAGCGTGGGCAGCAGCAGAGAGCGTGGGCAGCAGCAGAGAGAGGGGGCAGCAGCAGAGAGAGGGGGCAGCAGCAGAGAGAGTGGGCAGCAGCAGCAGAGAGCGGGGGCAGCAGCAGAGAGCGGGGGCAGCAGCAGAGAGCGTGGGCAGCAGCAGAGAGCGTGGGCAGCAGCAGAGAGCGTGGGCAGCAGCAGCATAGAGAGGGAGGGCAGCAGCAGCAGAGAGTGTGGGCAGCAGCAGCAGAGAGCGGGGGCAGCAGCAGCATAGAGAGGGAGGGCAGCAGCTGCAGAGAGAGGGAGGGCAGCAGCAGCATAGAGAGGGAGGGCAGCAGCAGCATAGAGAGGGAGGGCAGCAGCAGCATAGAGAGGGAGGGCAGCAGCAGCATAGAGAGGGAGGGCAGCAGCAGCATAGAGAGGGAGGGCAGCAGCTGCAGAGAGAGGGAGGGCAGCAGCAGCATAGAGAGGGAGGGCAGCAGCAGCATAGAGAGGGAGGGCAGCAGCAGCATAGAGAGGGAGGGCAGCAGCAGCATAGAGAGGGAGGGCAGCAGCAGCATAGAGAGGGAGGGCAGCAGCAGCATAGAGAGGGAGGGCAGCAGCAGCAGAGAGCCAACCTGAGCAACGACGGCCTCGTTCTCGAGGGGGTTGAGGGAACACGTGGAGTAGACCAACCGCCCCCCCACCCGCAACAGCGCCACCGCTGCATGGGGCAGAGGGCACGCACGCACATGCACATGCACGCACGGGGGGACAAGGGGGGTGATGAGAGATGGAGAGAGAGAGGGGAGAGGGGGGAAAGTGCGAGAGCGGGGATGGGAGAAGAGTTAGTGGGGAACTTTTGAGGATTTCAAAGGTGGGGATGAAGAGAGTAAGAGTTGCGAACGCGAGGCCGGAACGAGGAGGCAAAAAACGCAAAGGACAGAGGTACAAAGCAGATGCACAGCACAGCACTCCAGAGCACCCCAGAGCAGATCCAAGGTGAGAACCCCAGCGCCCACCCCTCATGGCGATTTTGATCTGCAGCGCATGCAGCCCGTTGCCGTTGCCCGTGTTCCTGGAGGGCGTTGATGGGAGACACGGGACGGAACGGGGGGGAAACGGGGGGGGAGTGGGGAGGGGAAACGGTGGGGGGGGGATGGGGAGGGGGGGAATTGGGGGGTATTGGGGGTGAAGGGAACGGTGGGGAGAGTGATGTAAACAGGACAGAGTGAGGGGGACAGAGTGAGGGGGACAGAGTGAGGAGGACTGAGGGGGAAACGGGCAAGAAAGTCAATGAGGGGCAGTGGGGCCAGGAGGGAGGAATGTGGGCAGCTGTGCCGGTTCAGCTTTACGAGTCAGAGAGGCGAGAAACAATGGTCCCTTGCTTGCTCTCATGCATTGCTTGAGGATTACTCATCCACTCCCACAACTCGTTCGTTCTCTTGTTCCCTCCTTCCTCCCACCATTCCTCCCACCCACCTCTGCACCCACTCACCCACCCACCCACCCATCCACCCATCCACCCACCCACCCATCCACCCACCCACCCACCCACCCACCCATCCACCCATCCACCCACCCATCCCACCCATCCCACCCACCCACCCACCCATCCCAACCATCCCACCCATCCCACCACCACGCACCACTTCTTCCAGATATCAGGTGCCTTGCGCATGGTGCCATCGCCACTGCACGGCACGTCACACAGAATGCGGTCAAACAGCTCCCCCTCGCCCTCCCCCTCCCCTTTCCCCTCACCCTTCGCCTCTCCCTCCGCCCCGCCCTCCTTGGTCCCCTCCTGCTCCTTGCTCTCAGCACCCACTGCCTCCGCCTTCTCCCCTTTCTCCTCCCCTTTTTTCTCCACCTCAGCAGCAGCGGGGGCAGGGGCAGGGGCAGCGGCAGCGGCAGAGGGTTGAGAGGAGATGGAGAGGGAGGGGAAGAGCTGGGCGGCGTGGTTGGTGACGAGGATGCAGGGCGAGGAGAGGCGCTGCGTCTGGTGCACCAGGAGGTGACAGCGCCTTATGTCCAACTCGTTTGCCACCACCTGAAGAGAGGGACCGGGGAAGGGAGAGGGAGGGGGGTGGGGAGGGGGATGGGGAGGGATTGGACATGGAGCGGAAGGGGGAGGAAGAGCGGAAAGGTGCGGGGAACGGGGCAGGGAGGGGGGAGGGGAAGGGGAAGGGGAAGGGGGAGGGACCGGAAGGGGAGAAAAACGGAAGGAAAGGGGAAGGAATTTGAATGTCTGAATATGTTGGTTATGCCAGGATGTGCAAGGAAAGGAAGGGGAAGGGGGAAGAAAGTTGGGAGGAGAGGGTGGAGGGGGGGGTTTGGGTGGGGAGAAGTGGAAGCGGCAGAATCAAACGGGCAAGGCAGGAACACAAGACAGCGTGATTGGAAGCCCTTTCTACTGCTTTCCACTGCCTCACTCACCCTCCGTAAGCACCCATTGACCTGTCCCTGCACACCCCCCATCGCCCATCCCCAACCCATTGCGCCAATCCCCCGGGCCCCCCTGCGCCCATCCCCCATGCACCCCCTGCGCCCATCCCCCATGTACCCCCCTGCGCCCATCCCCCATGCACCCCTGCGCCCATTCCCCATGCACCCCCTGCGCCCGTCCCCCATGCACCCCCCTGCGCCCATTCCCCATGCACCCCCCTGCTTGCCCCACCATGCCCGAGGGCAGCTGCGCAGGCCCGCACCCCCCGTGCAGCATCTCCAGCAGCTGAAAGGTCTTTGACCCTGGCGCCGCACACACTGGGGTGGGCGGAAGAGAGGGTGGGAGGGAGGGAGGGAGGGAGGGAGGGAGGGAGGGAGGGAGGGAGGGAGGGAGGGAGGGAGGGAGGGAGGGAGGGAGGGAGGGAGGGAGGGAGGGAGGGAGGGAGGGAGGGAGGGAGGGTGGGAGGGAGGGAGGGAGGGAGGGAGGGAGGGAGGGAGGGAGGGTGGGAGGGAGGGAGTGAGGGAGGGGGGGAAGGGGGGAGGGAGGGAGGGTGGAGGAGGGGGGGTTGGGGGAAGTGGGCACAACCATGCAGAAAGAGGGAAGGGAGAGACGAAGAGGCATATGGTAGAAGGGGCACAGGAGAGGAATAGCAGGGGTGGAAAAGAGTGGTGAGCCGGGGGGGGTGTGGAGCAGGGGGGGGTTGCGGCGGTAAGGGGGGAAGAGAGGAGAGGTTGGGATCAAGAGCAAGGGACGGCAATTGGAAGAAGAGGGTGGAGGAAACAGAGCAGTGTCTTAGTGTCGAGTTTTGAGACGTGTCAAAGCAGAGCGGTGACTTACTGTCGAGCACGTTGTGATGCGGTTGCACGTCCAGAAGAAGCGGTGGGATCTGCAATGCGCGCGCGCACACACACACACACATACCCACACAAACGAACACCGCACACACACACGCACACACACGCGCACACATACCCACACAAACGAACATACTCACAAAACACACACAAACGCACACACACACACGCACGCACGCATGCGCGCACGCACACACACACACACACACACACACACACACACACACAAGCACACAAGAGGACACACAGCAAACACAAACAGATGAGACGATAGAAATTGACGAGGGGAGGGAGGGGACGAATACACTCACACGAGGGAGAGTAGGGAGGATCACGGCGGAGAAGTGAGAGCGTAACGGAGGGGAGACAGGAGGAAACGACAAGCAAGGACATGCAAGCACCATGCTCTACTCCACCATAGTGAAACACAGAAAGTCCAGCTTGCTACAGCCGTGCGATGTCCATCTGTGACCTTCATTCAGGGCGGAAAGAGCACCCCTCCCAGTGTGGAGACCGAGAGAGCTGAGGAAGGATGACCGGGAGGGAGGGAGGGTTGGCTTGGCATACCATGCTGACTGCCTCCTGGCGAGTGATGGCGCCAATCTCGTTCTCCCTCTTGATGAAGTCAAACAGCCTGCTCACATGCACATGCAGATGTGTGTATGCACGCGCACGCACACACATGCACATACACATCCATACGCACGTGCACAAATGCAGGCACAGAGAGATACACGTACAAATACACATGCCCACATACACGCCATCAGAAATGCGTGTGCTATTGCACTCACCAAGACACATTATTCACGCATGCACATGTATGTATTGTACGGAAACACACAGACCACAGGGAAACGTCCGACTTTAAATGAGATGACGCATGCAAAAGAGACTCTCAGAACTCTCGAAGAGCCAAAGCCAGACAACACGGAGATAAAGCACACAATCTAGGCAACGATGGGGATGGGTGGTTGGGTGGGTGGAAGGGGCGGAAGGGGCGGAAGGAGTGGGGAGAGGGGGGCATGTCAAAAACACTTCCAATCACAAACACCACCTCCCCTCACCCCACCCCACCCCCACTCCACTGCACCCCAACCCACTCCTTCCACCGCACCCCACCGCACAGCACCTGTTGAGCTCGGGCAGGGTGCGCAGCTGCTGGCGGGAGATGTTGAGGTGCCAGCCCAGCCTGTCCGGGTACCACGGCAGCACCCGTGGCGCCTCCACGCGCTCCCCCTCCACCTGCTTGTTTGTTGTGTGGAGAGGGGAGGGGAGTTGTGGAACGCGCAGGTGGGAGTGCAGGTGGGCGTGCAGGAGGGCGTGCAGGTGGGCGTGCAGGTGGGCGTGCAGGTGGGCGTGCAGGTGGGCGTGCAGGTGGGCGTGCAGGGTGGCGTGTAGAGCATAGGAGGGGTTCTACAATAGCGTTGGTGTCTGTACTGTGAAGCTGGCATGTGTGTGAGAGCATGTGGGCGATGCATGCAAGGACAAGCAAGCAAGGACATGCAAGCAGCAGCAGCACCCACACACCTCCAACGGCTGGCTGAACGACTCGGCCACATGCCTCTCCATCTCGTCGCGGATGTGCATCGCAAACGGACCACTGCAGCACACACATGAGCGGGCGACGGCGCGTGGGCGCCCGTGAAAAATTGGGTTGGTGATGTGAGAGGGATTTGATGAGAGACGTGCAAGTAGGGGTTGAGGAAAGAGGACGTGGGGGAAAGTACAGGTCAGATCAGCATGCAGCGAGAGGAAATGGTGAGCTACTGCCATATGGTTGGCCTAGAATGTCAAAATGTATGAGCCACCATGTTAGAATTAATGAGCTCTGTCTATCCGCTCTGCCCAACACACCCGTTATTGTCTCCACCGCGCTCTTTCTCGACAAGGTAAAGTGAGGGTAGAATCGTCACTAAACCCGAAACCTTGACCAACAGCCAAAACGCGAAACTTGAATTGAAAGGCGAAGCTTGTTCTGCACGACTCACTTGGGGTGCATTAGGAAGACGACTCACTTGGACAGATGGTGCTGCATACTCACGGAAAACGACATGACTTTTGACAAGACTCCTGAGTCAACCCTACCCTCTCCTCCCCTCCTCCTCCCTCTCCTCCTCCCCACCCACCCCCTTCAACCCCCCCACCCCAACCCTCCCCCTCCTCCACCCCCCCCCCCCGTTATAATGGCACGCGGCACACGCGAGGGGCGGACTCACTTGGCGTTGATGCGGAACGTGGTGGGCAGCGGCTGGCGCATGCTGGCCACGAACGCATCCCACTCCGACTCCGGAAGCAGCTGCTGCTTCTGCTTGCACAAACCGTTGCCGTTGCCGCCGCCGCCGTCGCAGTTGCAGTCGCCATCGCCGTCGCATGCAGTGGAACAGCGAAGGGCGGGAGGGGGAAAAGGGGAGGGCGGGTTCGGGTCGGGGTTTAGGGGACATAAGGGGTTTAGTCCAGGCAGGGAGGGCAGGGCGACGCGCCAGAGAGAGTAAGAAGCACAAGATTCAGCCTAGCCGATCGTCACCGCGTTGATTAGCGACGAGACTCGGCTTTGAAAGCGAAATGAAGGTGGCATGGCCTTTGAGTCGATCCACCCTACCCTGCACTGCACCCATTCGAAAGGCAACCACCCTACTCGCCGCCCGCGAGACAGCGACGGGAGAGAAATTTGGAGACGACCTCGTAAACGATCGACGGTGCGTTTTTGAGCCGGGTCGGAAAGGGACAAGTGGGAACTCGACGGCGTTGTACCCTGCGGCGTCGTGCTGCGACGTTGCACGATCTATTTGCGAAATAGGGAACCTCAATCTCTGCGCACGCGTGCCCGAGCCGCTGAAAACGGTTCGGCGGATGACGAAGAATCGCCAGATGTAACGATAGATCGTCAGTGTGATTACAACCAAATGAATTGGGCTTTTCAGTAGTCAGCGACGAGGCGACAACGACGAGGCGAACGACGAGGCGACAGCGACGATGCGACATCGTTAGGTCACTGGCTGCTCTCGGAAGTGCGATCCTTGTCTACGACCACCCAGAGCACAGACGCACGCGCGCACACACGCACGCACACTCACTTACACATACTAGCACGCACACGCACACGTGTACATACACGCCATCAGCAGCCACCCTATAAACGGTGTATTTCCAGCCGGAACTAGCCGCCACAACACAAGGGTCGCCCACTACAAGCACTCTCGCTTAGAAGCACGCCTCGTGAACCCCCGAGCCGCGAAAAACACGTTCACCCCTTAACAATTGAGAATCAGAATCGCGGATCCAAAACGCCATCCGATTCGCTAGCCAATCCGCCAGCCAATCACCTTGTAATACGACTCAAACGCCTCATTTTCCAGGACAAACGCCTTCCATGCGCCGCCGCTCGCGCCGCCAGCCTCGCCGCCTTCCGCGCCGGGTTGCCCGGCCCGCTCATCGCGGCGCGGGCGGATCCACTCGTTGGGGCGGTTCTTCTTGAAATCGCGGCGCATGTAGCGGGACCCGCGCCCGGCGCGTTTGCCGGCCATGATGCGAGGCTTCTTGCAGGCACGGTCAGATAAGACCGTACTTGGAGAGATTAGGGTTTAGAGAGGAGTGGGTGTCTGGTCTGTAGTCCAGGATCAAGGAGATGAAGGCAGCAACTAGCAGGGGTTGGTCTTTGATGAATGTACCACACATGGTTGGTTCGCGCACTCTGAATTTCTGCGTTACAATATCCTGTTTCGCTACAAGTGCGAAAAAAATTTATGATAATAAATCCATTTTCGCCTAATCAAAACAAGTCACAACATGAATGGCCTTGCTGCTAGTGCATCAATCTGATCAACCCCCAGAGAAGTTTTGAAAAAGACCGAAGGCACAAGCAGGAAAAAACTTGGAAACACAAGGATGCACTGGATCGGTGTACTTGGGCTTAAAATGATGATGAATCTGAGGGCCAGGAGTTATGTACCAGGGATCTCAGGCTTGGATGAATTTCGTGAGTGCCATGGGATTGCACAAGCTTAGGCACCACCAGACCTATACTAGCTATCTTAGGTTCCTTTTGGCACTGCATAAGGACAAACTGAGCATTCAATAGTATAAGAAACGATTCAATTGTCTTTGAGAAGTACAACAAGGAGCATGCAGAAAATCCACCTTCAATCATATACGAAATGGACTGCAATGAACCATTGGAGTCCTGCTGCGTATGTGGAGGTCTGATCTGGGGACCTCATGGGCAGTTCTCCTGCTTGCTATCATGCACCACGCCTCAAATCCTTTAGCGACGAATCCGCTACGACCGCTGAAACGATGTGTGCCAGCGACTCGTGGAGACTGAAACAATATGCTTGCAAAACGAGGGAAAGCGAACGAGCGACGGTGCTTGGCTGCAGCCATCGCCGCTCGCCTCCTCTTCCCGGCTTTAACTCATTTATTCGGAAGGCCTTCTCCTCAGCAGGCTACAGCGCATGAGCCGCCGCCACACGCGCTGCTCCCGCAATCTGTGCTAGATCCTAACCACCAGCTATCACCGCCGTGAGATGGAGCCTCTGCGCTAGGTCCACACTCGCTCTCCCCCCAGCTTCCCTCCTCGTCGTCTGCGACGCTAGCGACGTCGCCGTCCATGTCGCTGTCGCAACTCGTCGTCCACCCCTCCACGTCAAACCCTTGCGGCACCGCGAGATGCGGCACGCCCATCGCACAGAGACACATCGCGCGATTGTATCCCGCGCCACCACACGTGCACTTTGCCGTTCTAAGCGAACCGTCGCGAAAACCAGCAGAAGCGGGATACTCGCCGTTACACCCGGGAGTGTTCGGGCAAGATCCATCCCCTCGGTAAGTCGAAGATACCTCCTCTTCGTCTGCCACCGCCGCCATCGCTCCCGCTTCGGCCCACTCCCAGCACCCTCCAGCAGCACCCGTGGCTTCAATCGGAGCGTTCGAGGGAGAGGCGAACGAGGGGGATGCGGGATGAGGCGCAAGAGTTGCCTGGTGTTGCGCGGCGTGCGCACCCCATACTGCTTCCGCCACCGCCATGGCGTCCGCGGAAGGGGCAGTCCCCCACCAAAGCTCCGCGAGCGGCGTTGTGGCAAAGGAAGACGCAGGACCCGCGAGCTGCTGCAACTGCTGCTCTTGTTGCACCGCGTCGCTATACGAGGGGGCAGCGAATCTAGAATCCCTGTACAACGGGCCTGAGACACACAATCGCTGCTGCTGCTGCTGTTGCGGTGGAGCAAGAGGTCCCGAAACTGCTTTACGAGTTATGGGTACGAAAGGGTCGACGAAAGCAGCTCTCGCCATCACTGCAGCGCTCTCTGACGACGAGTAGCTCTGGGAAGAATGGACTGGCTTTGCCATGGCCTAGATGAGCTGCCTGCGTCGCTCTTTCGATATTGAGGACGATGGTTGCGATGGTGGAATTTCTGCTGCGTCCTATGATGATAATACTGCGCTAGTTGATATCCAGCTCGTCACACGGTCTCATAAAAAATACTGCATGCAAATATGTCTAGCAGCGGATGAAGTGCTGCAAAGTCTGCTTAGTGGTATCGTAGTGCGAAGACCTCCAACTCTTGAATGCAAGTCTCAAAAGAGCAGGGAGTTCATGGCTTTTAACTGACAACTGTCGATTGATATTGTGCAGCTAAGATGGAGGTGCTGCTGAATTCGGGAGCTGCAATTTGAACAGGCGACGGGTAACGGGGCGCGATTTAGATTCACGGCCGTCGCTCCTAGTGGCCGCGTATGCGGGCTCGGTTTGAAGGCGCGACAGCGACGGGCTGGGCTAACGAAGCGAGCGAGCAGCGAAGCGATTTGCAGTGTTCGCTATGCAACTGCCTTCGCATCCACCTATCTACACAACACCACCACGGCGGCTGGTTTGCTTTTGGGAAGGCTGTAATTTGCTACGTATCGTGCTGCGCTCCGATGGACATGCCTCGCGATCCGTGGTCAGTATGCTGCGCTGCGACTCTCGCCATGTCATTCCAGGCGAGAGAGAGCAAAGCAAGGTAGGGGGCAAGCAGTGACGTGAATGTTTGGGGGGGTTCTGCCTTCCTCAACTAGGATCACCCTACTCGCGTCACCTCAACTACCCTTCTGTTGAGGCAGGCGCTTCGCACTACAGTAGCGTGTCAATGCCTGTGCATGGGGTGATACACTGCTATATTCCGCCACTCACGCAACAAGGTGGGGAGAAACGCGGAGGTGTGGTCCCAACCGTGCCGCCCAATTCCGCTCATCGCGGCGGCGGATACAGTGGCTGGGGCATTGGTGAAACAGAGACAGATGGAGCGAGGCGAACTGTATGGGATCCCGAACAGAATTTGCGAAGATTTGTGTGCCTCACTCCAACGTTGCGAAAAGGCGTACGAGTGTGGGTCTCATCTGAGCTCGTCATTATTGCCAGCCAGGATGTACGTACGGAGGATTACGCAAGTACAGTACTTCAATAAGTCGGAGTTGACACGCCGTGGCTTCATCGCGAGGACGACGTGCCACATTCGAATCGCAAGGCGAAACAAGCAAATCGCTGAGAGTTTTGCTCAATCCCGCGGAGTCGCGGTTTGTTTTATTATCTCCACGTGGCATGCCTTCGATCGCGTGAACCGCGATCTGTTTTATTGTTATCACAAACCTCAAGAGAAAATTAGTTAAGTTCTGTACTGCGCTGCCCGTGGGCAAAAATAAAACCCATTTGGGCCTGGCATGCGTTAGGGATACATCAACCCTGAACACCTTGCCTCTAGGTGTTTAGGGTTGATGCATCCATAACGCATGCCTTACTTATAGGGGTTTTATTTTTGTCCGCGGGCAGCAGAATCCAGAACTTAACTAAAATTCGCTTGAAGTTTGTGATAACAATAAAACAGATCGCGGTTCACGCGATCATATGCTCGCCACGTGGCGAAAATAAACCAAACCGCGCTTCCGCGGGATTGAGCAAAATTCTCCAAATCGCTGAGCAAGCGCTTCGGTTCAAATGAACGACGGCGTCGCGCGTTACTGGCTCGAGGTTCACTTCAAAATCCAAGTAGGAACACTGCCGCCCCGAGATGAAACTGCAACAAGGACGACGGAGTCGCACGTGAGAGCGATTTGCATTGCTCGCCTCTCGCTCGCCAGCAATATGGCCATTCACAAATTCCTGCACGACTGGTTTGAAGTCCACGATGGGTCGATCGAAATCCATCGGCCCGCAGGAAAGCCGAGGCGAGCGCCTGGATAATCGTGATGAACTGTGCGAAAGTGGCACAGCAACTCGCTGCCCAAAAATGGGCGAAGCGCAGAATTCCTTGGATGTGTTCCCAACGATACGCGGTTCGGTAACAACTGTTCAACAAACCTCGTGAATGCGGTTCGAGATGATCGCCTGTCTCAGAATCATCGTTCAGCTTTCATATATTTGACGGAGTCGCGTCGCACAAAGTTCGTCATGTGCGCATTGAGGCACTCACGTCACACGTCAAATTGGTCGCCTCTCGCAGCTGAGGTGGTGGTGGTGTCGTCAAGGTGCTGGAAAGTCAGCTATATTTCGACGTCTAGCACCATCCAAGCGTCGTCCGCTCCTTCGCAATCGCACAGGGCCGCTAGGCTGTAAAATCACATTCGTGTGTAGAACGCCAGTTGACTTCCCCCAACTGCAGAGGGACTCCCGCGACAAAGGACACGGCCCTGCATATGTTTCTTGTTCGCAGCGTTTGTGTCACAATTATGCGATCTGGTTGCATGGCCTGAGACTAAATGGAATACATTTCTCACTTCAATAAAAACTTACTCACTTGATATACTTCCCTCACATATATGGAAAAAAAACTTCCCTTGAAATAATATTTCTTACAATATGAGCAGCCCTAATGTGCTAACTCCAGCATTAGCAAGTCAGTTTCCACCTCAGTTTTATTCAACTTCACCCTTCAGCATTACAGCATTAAGAAGAAGAAGGAAAATATATACATTCCCAAACAACCGCATAGCTCTTTCTGTTTGGGCAAAGGAGGGGGGGAAGAGGGATACATTTCATCCCATTTGTCTAACATGATGTGATGGATGCCATGTTGGAATAAGCTTGTATATGTAGGTTGTTACTGTTGGGCTGAAAAACCCTTAGGATCTTTGCAGGGGTGAACTCTGGGTAGAGTTGGTGTAGTAGCGGAAGCGTTAATTAAAGAGTTGTGAACCACCTTGCGCTAGTATGTGAGGGCAAAGTAAGTTGATTAAAACAAAGAGATACAAGCTTTTATAAGAGTACAAGGAATACGAAGAGATACAGTTAATAACCGTTTTACTATTGCTGTTGCGGTTCGATACAGCGACGACTCGGGCAACTGCTCAATACCGAGTCAGTTGTTTGTCCTTGCTGTCCCGCTGTACTTTGTCAGGTCAAAGGTCGCTGACCTTTGACTTTCGCGTAACCTCCAACAGTTACTTTCAACCTCCGAGGGTTGACTCGCCGGTGATTCGTTATACTTCGTTTCTTTTGTGTCTTAGTGTTTCGACACGACAGAGGCGCTTAGGACCGATTGTTTCCAACAGTTACGGATGCGATGCTACATATACAATTATGTTTGCTGCTGGTATTGTCATAGGAGCTTTGCGTTCCATCTTATACCCACTTCCAACGTTACCGTAACATCCATCCTAAATATGTTCGACCCAGTCAAGGCTCAAAATTGGTTTTTGGCCACCCTATCAAATCAGGGTGCCCCCAGGTCCTACCCTAACTGGTAATGTAAATTAGAGCACGGTTCCAGACTTGTCCGCCCACCATCCGGCACAAAATGGTCAGGGTCGATGTGTAAAGACACGATGGACACACAGAGACACGTCACCGATGATTTTCCAATGATCGCACAATCTATCGGCTTGCACTGTGCGTACGACCCAAACATGTTTCCGGATGTGTGCGAACCTGTGAAACACATGTACATTTATCGAGCTGAGGGGTTACATCCATCGCCAGTTCGTGCAGTGACTTCGCGAGAGTGGTACATTGTGGTCCAGATGTCAAAACATATTTATGTTTATAGCTTTCTAGGCTATGTAGGGGTCATCCGTAGAGGGTACAACACATTGCTCGATAGTCTTGTACCCCCCCCTCCCCTTATCTAATCGACACTTCTTGTGAAAGAACGAGGAATGTGTGCACTAGAAAACAGGTGGGTACAAGTAGGAAAACCTAAAAGTGTTGTACCCCATATTGTCTACCCCACTACAGCCTACACAGACCATAGCATATAAGTTTGACACACCCCCATAGGCAAAGTGGGGGAGAACAAGAGGTCACAAGACCAGTCAAGCAAAGCACAGTAAGCTCAGGGTGGATCACAATGTCACCACACATTCCGAGCACAAGTTCAAGGCCACAAGGCCAGTTCGCATGCAAGATCATATATAAAGGCAAACAAGCAAGTGCAGGTATAGATAGATCACAGTACAAGAAAGGTCAAGAAGTGAGCAAGTGAGGCCAAGTAGGCACAAGACCTAGCATCGTACAGAAGCGCTGATGATCACAAGGCGGAAGTGCCTTGGTAAAGATATCAGCAGTGTTGGCCTGAGAGGCCACGTAAGCAAGGCGCAGCTGACCACGCTGCTGCAGCTCACGAGCAAGGAAGTAGCGAAGAGCAATGTGCTTCGTTCTGTGCTCCAGTCTGTGCTCCCGACACAAGGCCAGCATGGCCTTGTTGTCTACGTACAGAACTGGAGGAGAACGAGGCGGCTCTCCTAGGTCAGTCAGCAGGTAGGTGAGCCAGCGTAGCTCCTGTGCAGCCATGGCCCCCGCGTAAATCTCAGCCTCACAGCTAGAGCCGAGAACAGAAGACGAGCGGGTAGACCGCCACGAAACAGAGCTGGAACCAAGGCTGAAGGTGTAACCCTGTGACGACCGCTGCGTAGCCTGGTCGTCAGCCCAAGAAGCGTCTGCGTGACCTGTGAGGACCACTGAACGCCGCCCTCCAAGCACTAGCCCCATGCCCGACGTACTGCACAAGTAGCGCAACACCCTCTTCGCTGCAGCCATGTGCTCTGGTCGGTGTCTCCCAGGAGCAACATAGCCTGCCAAGATGCTAAGAGGGTATGCAAGGTCAGGTCGAGTGCAGGTCATCAGGTACATGAGGCAGCCAACAAGCTCTGGGTACGGGCCACTCGGCTCTACGGACTCATCCAAAGGCAGAGCTGAGAGCGAGTGGCGAGTAGACAGAGGAGTGGCCTGAGGCGAGGAGTACGTGAAGTCGAAGCGCTGAAGGACCAGCAGCACCAACTCCAGCAGCCCCAGCAGCACCTCCAGTCCCAGCAGCTCCAGTACCGCCAGTACGAGCACCTCCAGGACCAGTGGCTCCAGTACCTCCAGCGCCGACCCC